TGTAGCTATAACGTGATTTTTTCTTAAATAAATAAATTATTTTCATAAAGTAAGATAGATCTAAAGTGTAACCCAAATAGTAATTTTTTATGTTTAAATAATTCACCTTTTAAAACATATGATATTATCTAAATACTGTTTTTCTTACTGAGTATATAGAACTCACTCTTTTCATGCCCTCCTTCCCCCTAGATGAGAAAAATAATGAGGAAACGTCAACTGACCTACCCATTAAAGTTTATGAAGATTCTGTGGATCCGCAAAATTTGAGTAACTGAGATCATCCTCGCATTCTGATGAGTTCAATAGTATAGTGAAAGAAGTGGTCCTCTTTTGTATTTTGATATTGTATTTTACAGCCACTTCTAGCCTCAATTATATATATATGTATAATTGGAACTCATATATTTGTAAGAGATTTATATTAATTTGTCCCACTGCATATAATTTTCGTCATGTACTCGTAATTTTATTTTTTGTATCTCACATCCACATGCCTTAATTAACATACGGGATGTCATAGTGTGTGCTCTCCTATTATTTAGGAAAGATGTAATCTATAAAAGTTCAAGTTGGATCAAGTGGCCTATTTTGCCTACATATTTGATGTTATATTATAGTCAGTAATAGTTTGAAAGTTCTTGTGAAGTGATGGCCCATATTCAGTATCCTTGTCTCATTTTCCATAATTTTGAATGTTAAGAAAAGGATACAATGTTGCAAAATTCATTTAGAGTATGCAATGCAAATTTCATAGTTTTTAAAGTTATGGAGAATGATCTATATTTATGAAATCCAATTGGAGTGAATGTTCAGGTTTTATAACTATGGGTCATTTTTTTAATAATTATGCAAATAATTTGTAATTAAAAGATTACAAAAATATACTATTTTTTTGTAATTTTCAATTAAATTTCAAAAATAAATAAAATTTTATTTGCTTTAAGATTTAATTTAATGAAAGAAATCAACACTATATTCATTAATATATACCATCTAAACAGATTAAATTACATTATACTAATGAAAAAATATATAAAATATATACACAAATATTTGAAAAAAAAATGAACATAAATATCATGTTATTTAATTAGAATAAATAAGATTTACTAGAAGAAAATATACTTTAATTTTTGTTTTTTTCTTCGGTAGATACCGTGCAATTTTTTCCCCCAAATAATGGAACAAAGAATAAGAGCCTACCTCTATAAAATGACAACGGGAGTTTTCTCTCCATGCTCTAACACAACGTTGTTAAAAGAGAAACATGAAGTAGCGCTCAAAGTTGGTCCAAATTGAACTTGATAAATCCAGAAGTCGACTTAACTCCATTCTCAAAGAACAGGAATTCAAATTACAGCCTCATAAAATAAAGCAAAGGAGAAAAAATACGGGAACTTCTCTAAAGATTTTACGTAAATCAAATGCATAATTGATATTTGATTTTGAAAATGTTGCATCTAAAGAAAGGTCTTTTCTTTCTTTTTTAATTTGCAGATAAAGAAGAGGAAGGAGAGAAGAGCGAACTCGCATCTTTCTAAGTGCTAGTATTTTTAAAAAAGAAAAATAAAAACTTCAATATTATTTTATAAGGAAAAAAAAAATTAGATGAATAAATGAGTAATTTATCTAAATTTTTATCCTTATTTCCAGCACAGCATGAGAATAATTTTAAACTTGCGGCTGAATAGATCAAAAGGAGCTTAGATAGTTAGCTTAAAAAAATAACATAATATTTTTGGTGTTGTTTGGCGTACACTCTTGACTAGAAACCTTATTGACTGCGTTATTGCCCCAAAGCCCCAAGCGAAAAGATTTAATTGGTATACACTTGAAACAAAGTATGCGTGAATCTTGACAAAATAAATGTCAATCTCTAGTTATTTATTCCCCTCTAATGTTTCTTAAAGTATATTTATTTTCTTAAAGACTACGAAATTATATAATTTTAAATTGAATAATTAGTTTATTAATTGTTTAGTTATAAAAATATTAACAGATTAAATCAAAAACAATCTTTAAATTATAGATATTTAATTCAGCACAAATTTAAATTTAATAAATGAAAATGAATTAGTAAAGATGTTTTATTATACATAAATTAATATAAGAGATTTTCCATAAAAAAAAATAATTAATGTAAAATTGATCATATCAGAACAACTTTAAAGAAACTTTAAATTTAAAAAACTTCATTTTTTTCTAGAAAAAGAACGGTTTTTCCCCTTCTCCCTTGATTTAATAGTTTTTACACTGTCCACACCTTCATTTTTCATCATCAAATATAAATCTAGATTCTTTCGAGTCCACATCTGTAATTTCTTGGATACTAAGCATTATCACAATGTAATTATATTTTTTTGTAAGTCATGTTAATTTTCAGTTATGCATTTATAATTTGCCGTTAATTACTTTTTTTAATGTAAAAAGGTGCGTGCAGAATGTCAAAGGTAGAGTATATAAGAAACTGAAGATATAGCATCTCTCTCATAATGTCAACATAGCAGAGCAAAAGGTCCAAAAATAACAACTGATACAGATACTAAGCCTACGATTAGACCAATAAATCAAGGATAAGTTAGGTGGATTAAGTTCACATTCTGGTTTGGTTATAGAAAGAAGTCACTGATCAAGAATCAACAGTTTCCAATCAACTGGATACTTCTATACCACAAACAAAAACAAATATACAACTCATCAGGTTTAATAGCAAACTTATTGTTGCCCTTATAAATTAACAAACACATTGAGTGAAAGACCACAAGTAAATGACAAAATGAAGTGAGCAGCAGCTACTTTTACCTGTTTACCTTAACTTGAATGGGAGGTTCAGAAGCATTTGATCAGAACTATCAGTTCAACAGATACAGGAAGCTATCTGATTTAATTATACAAAATTCAATGATAATCAGCTCATGACCTTAGTAGAAACACAGTTCTAAATAAATATATGGTGAACCGTAAAAGAAGAATATCGTGCTCAGGAAGCCATAATGCCACTCATTTTTTCAGTCAACAATGATCTACACAACTCCAAAATGAACACACCATTTTACCCTTGTGCTAAAGGCTTATTCATCAAGGTTTCCTCTCCCCAATCCAGTTCAATTCTCAAACTGACAAGCAGGGAGTGACAAGAAGACCAACAACCAGGGAGTAATACTCTTCTTATTAGCATTACTCGGATTGTCTGATAAACCTTCCATTCTCCAAATCCAATAAAACAGTTGCCTACAGGAAACCTGCTGCCTTCTGCTTCCACATAAAGCAGACAATTTGTCTAGTCATTTGCTTACCAAATAAAAGGTATATCCGCTGATCCTCCCTGGTATCACTTTTGCTCAATCCAATACCCTTTAGAAATGTAGCACAAAATTGAAATCTCAATACCACCAGAAATTTGAGATGAACATATTCATGCTTCTGGAACCCTACATTTTCCAGGAATTCAACCAATACACCTAACCAGCTCCTTATGGATTTACATTGCATTGACTCAAGTATGGATCTTCACGGTTCAGAAACTTCCTCCAGTATACTTTATACTTTGGAATTCCCAGATCAAGCCAAGGTTTCATATTTCCATTATAATGCAAGACTGGAGCTTTCCTAATGGCTTGGGTACTAATCCCATGGTCATGACCGAGTCCTGGAAGAACCCAAAAGTCTTCAAGAGCATAGATTAGGCCCTGAAATGTTAGAAAGTTTGCACGCAATGCAACTCCTTCAGCTGATACCTCTCCGACACTCATCTGGCACACATAATCAAAGAACAAATGTCAGAATTTCAATATTATATCCTTCAAACAGATCAATATAATGTGGGAATTACATTAGAGACCCATTAACTGTTCCAGCCAAGCTACTATCCAACTAAGAAAAGCAAAAAGCTATTCTTGGACATAAGAGGAGTTAATATCAAACAACTCCGTTGATTCCATTCAATTCAAATTCATTAACCAATCAATACTAGGTCATGATGCATAGACTTCGCGGACATGATCTAGTTACTGAGAATGTGAATTGAATTAGACCAAACAACCCATGTTAATATAATTACCATTGCTTACACAACAGCTGAAAGGACACTGCTGCCAAGTAAACTTCACTCACCTCTCTTACCAACCTCCAGTAGCTTTCAGTAAGATCTAGTTCCCTCCACCTGGCCAGATCAATTATGTTCAATCCAGACATCCAAACAAAAGAATTTTTACTCAAACTGCCTGGCCCAATGTAGCTCTTTAGTTGATCCAACCTCACGGATGACAACTGCACAGCACCATTCACTTTCCCATTCATGTTGAGGCTCCACAGGGCCGACAAATCGTGCTGCACAACAACATCTTCATCCAATATGACAATTTTTGACAAATTCTGGAATATCTTAGGAAGAAGATAGTGAGAATGTGAAAAAGTTGTTAAGTAGTGCATCTTATCATGGGTGTGAAAAGAAACACGAAACTCCACGGGCAAAGACAGATGTAAGGAAGTTGTTTTGTCATGATAGTTCAATTGCTCAATATTCAAGACTTCAACAGCAGCTTCCCTGTATGAATTTTTGTAGAACCATAACTTCATGGCATAGTAATTTTGTCTATCTGTCAGCACATGGAAAACAAGACTTCTACTCTCCTGAGATTGTAAGAAAATTGGTTAGAATTCAGCACCCAAAATTAAACATTTGTAGGAATCAATCTATGGAGGAAACTTGAAACATACTCGTGCATGCCTAACAGTTGAGTTGACTACAACAGAAGACGCGAGAACGTTATTGGAGATTATAACATAATGCTGTAGTAAAGGATCTGAAAACACCTCTCTATGAGAAAGCTCCATTTCAAGAGGAGATTTAAAATATTCCACTGTTAGCTTCATAGACAAGCAGTGAAGACTCTTCGGTATGGTTTGCACTGCTAGTTGATACAGAAAGGCACTCTGCTTCATGTGGAAGTTAGCTTCATCCTCGGTCATATCATATATTTGCCTCAATTTTTTGTCGATGTTATTGCAATCCACAGGAAAAGACTTAGCTCTTGCTATTACAGCTTCCATCTTCTGTAACTTCTTCTCAATCCTGATTAAACCAATAAATTGCACTTAGCATTCTTAATGATACGTTTCTTTTCATCTACTATGAATCTCAGCTCTGGCAACACCAGATTATTATCATTCTGCTATTAACAATAATGAAAAATAAAGCAAATGTGAAAGAAAAAAAAAAGAAATGAAAAAGCGCATGGTGTTTCTGCAAACTCATATGTTTTGTCTAGTCAGACATCTTATGAATTTACCTTAGGTTTTGCCGCTTTGTCATTCTCTGCTCTGAAAAATTTATATGCTGTTAAAACAACTTGTTTGAACACGAGCTTTGAAAATGAAAAAACTGCTAAATCCTAAATGTTCCCATGTCATCCATCAGGCAACGGGCCAACAACAAACCCAAGCCCCAAAAAATCAAAGTGATTGCATATCTTTGTCTTTGTTTATGTACAAAATTATGAATGTGTTACATCTATAAAACATTAACTAGAGTCATCTTAACCATATTTTTTTACTATAGTTCTCCTACTTTATCTATTAAATAGACTTAAATTTTACATAAATCAGATATATTAACTGCTTCACTATTACTTCTGAAGTCACCAAACTTATCAAGAAATTGAACTATGATAAGTTTCACAGTAATAACAGTTTTGATGTTATGTTAAATAGCAAGAACATAAAAGATTTATAATGTGAAATGCCACATCTATTGATAGCTAATGTACACGAAAATACATAAAACCACTCGAGATACAACTATCCGCTAAAATTTGCAGAGCAATAGGGCAACAAAAATAACTTTATGATAGGACAAATAGGTCTATTTTACCAATTAGGGATTTGGGAATTCAAAAAAAATGGACATCACACTTACGAATTTTTATACATCACATCTAAGAAGTTTTAAACATCGCACACTTAAAGTTTGATTGCATCATACTATTAGAAAAATGAAAAACTCGAAATATATTATTAAATACTTGAATGATCAATAAGTGAAATTAGAAAACTATTTATAATAATTTTTTCCCAACTAGAATTAAACTAGGAAATTATTAAACTAGTAAAATTAGGAATACTACCCTTAATAAAAATAAGAAACTAATATTAATGATATTAGGACTACTAGTCCTATTATAAATAAGAAAATACTACTAAGAATATTTCTAAGTTACAAAAACAATAATAATATGCCTAAATAATAAAATAATAGACTTCTAAATAGCATAATAGTTTCATATTTAAAAAAATTATACTTCTAATCTATTTAGGCATAACTTATTCTGAATCATTCTTCTCTGATTCGAGAAAAATCATTCATGAGTTTTGAAATGATAAACAATGTAAAACATTGATACTCAAGCTTTTCCATAAAAATTAATCAAACTTTTTGCTCGATCATTCTCTTCAACAGCAAACATGATGGAAACACGTACTGTTTACGAGTGTCAAATCCTAATGGTAGGATGAAATCACTATATGGACCAATTTGCGCTTCAACTTCATACTTGAGTTGAACATCATCTCAATTATTGGCTTAGATTCCTTCTTGCATTGATCTTCTATAGAACTCTCTGTGGGTAGTGAAAGATAGTGAATAACTTGAATATCTTTAGCCTTAGGAAGATATGACAGTTTTTGTTTTTCAACTTCGACGGACTCATTCTCTTTATCTTTTCCACTAATTGCAGGTGCTCTTGGATGTTTATATTTGTTCATAAACTTTAAAACTATATCTTTTATGTCATGCATAAAACGATAGGTGTCAATAATCTCACCATACTGAGTCTTTCGATCATAAAGCCAAGATTGACCTAAAAGAACGCCTAAACGCCGTAGGAACTACATCACACAAGATTGGATCAATGCAAGTACCATGACAAATGGAAACAACACTTTGTTGAGTTACTAAATCATGAATGACAAGTTCTTTATATCTATTTTCACAGCATACTATAGTTTGGAAAATTGGAGAATAGGTTGGATCTTTTCCACTTGAATTGCATAGTTGTGCTTAGCTACTATAAATAAAGACTTGTCAATACTACTACCCGCAAACAATAACTCATTCTCCTTATAACTCCACATGTTTAAACTTTTTCATTGCATTAACTTCTGTGAAGAAATTGCAAATTATATGAGCAAACAAAATACCTGGAATCCTGCTGAAAACCAGTCTGAGAGAGGATAAAGTGGTTTGTCCAAACCGGTTTTGTCAACCCCGATTAACAAAAGTCAAACAGAACACGGTTTACAATGCTCACTAACGAGTACTTGTGCATGGAGAGGCCACCGGACCACAACGATTTTCGGTTCAGTCAGAAGTGGCGACTAGGGAAAAAGAGAGGCAGCGGCTAGGGAACTTGAGCCAGCGAGTGTGGTGGTTTGTGTTGGAGTTTCACGTTGCGGCTTCGAGGAGAGGCCGGTCGGGCACTTCTAGAGCAAGTGGCGATGGCAATGAAAACCACCTCCGGCAGGTGGCTAGTGAACGGTGCTGGCAACTGTTTTATGATTTTTTTATTTTTTCTCCTCAGATGATTTGGAACTGTTTGGGTTTAGGATTTTTAGAATCTATGTATAGGATACTTTTAGCTCTAACACGAAATTAATGTAGGACATATAAAGTTGATTTGTCCAATTAGAGATCTGGGGATAAAAAAAAAACTAGACATTGCACCTAGAATTTCTTACACATTATATTTAAGAAGTCTTAAACATCACTTTTAGGAGTTTGATTGCATCACAGAACCAGAAAAATGAGAAACTCCCAAAATATATAATACTTGAACGATCAATAAGTGAACTTTAAAGTTATTTATAATAATCTTTTCCTAATTAGAATTAAACTGAGAAATAGTAAACTAGTAGAATTAGTCATAACACATTCTGCATCATTTTGCCATGTCAAGAAAACAGTATTATGTAGCATGTTAACATGTACGAACAGAAAATGAGCCCTAAAAATAGACATGCTCGATATTCGGATTAAAGACAAAGTACCTAAAGACAAGATCTAACATGAACTGACCCAATCTGCAACTACCTACCTGTGCTGGATGTGGACATTCCACTATCCTCGGGTCTGAAATGAGCATGCAAAGCAGGTGATCTATATATTATACATAGAACAATGCGCAATAAAGAACTTGAATTGACAAATATTGACTTGTAGAAAATGCAGACAATCTCTACAAAGCTGACTTCTTTGGTTGAAAAGGAATGAAAAACAATGTAATTAAAACAATGTACTAAAATTTTATATTTAATGGATTTGACACGACAAGATATGAAAAAATCACCAAGTAATTTATTAATATTTTCAACACTCTCCTAGTGCAAAAGCACAAACTATAACTGCTGTGATGCAAGATGGACCATGCAAAATTTTCCAGGACTTACTGCGGTGGAAGATCAAGATCCGTAGTACTTTCACTAAGAACACGCTCAAAATCTTGAATATTTACTTTCATTTCGTGAGTGAACTTGCTTTCTGTTGGAATTTTTGCAATGGTAGGATAGTAAGATCTAGCCACAAAAAGCAGGTCCTTTAATTTCTTCACCATTAAATCCTTCATTTTTTCTTTATTTTCTTCTCGCCAAAGGCAATAACTCCCAAATTTCTGTTCACATAATTTTCTACTTTCATCAACATCTCCTTTTCTGTACTCAATACTTTTAACTGTACTGTCAGTTGTATGCTGCGAGAGTAGGATACTAATGTTAGAGGCTCTGAAAGCAAATACAACATGTAAACAAAGAATTCAGGAAACTACAAGATCCATACACACATTTGTACTAGGTAGAGATTGCACATCACCAGGATGCACTGGAGTCCCTGTCAATCATATTAAGACGAGAAAGAAGACTCCCTCAGATAATATGAATGTTATATTTAAGCAATCTGATAAAGCACATTTAATATTATTACCTTTCTGTTGTTGATTATTAGGTGTGGCATTCCATCTTACAGTTTCATTTTTAACTTCGCTAGTGGTGTTCCTATGAGTTTCCTGGCAAGTGACACAAAATAAGTTTAAGAAAACAATAATACAGAATATATTACGTCTTAAAAGAAAAGATAAACGTAAATTCACAATGCACCAAAGTATCTTCCAATATAAAAATGAACTCATAAAAAGAGTGAGTCAAAATATCCAATAGGTCTCCTATTTCAAATCCATCATGGGGGAATGAACTTTTAACTAAATACTCATCTGGAAACAGTGATCTCTAACCCTATCAATCGCAGAACTTGCCGTCATATCCATCATGCATAAAACGATATGGTGCTAAAGCAATTGCTTTTAAGGAAAATGTTAAAACTATCTCCTTTCTTCACGGAAAAATGTAAATATAACATAAACAGGTATCAAGGAGGCCAACCCATATACAAGAGTTATACAAAAAGAGATGAGAAATTAGAAAGGGACTCCTGATGCAGGACACGCTCGTCTTTAAACAAAATAGTTAAAACTCTCAAAAGACTGATCTCTAATACAAACAAAATTCCATGCAAGGACTTCAAAGACTCTCCTATCCATTTCTCACCATATGATCCTGAAAAAAGCATGAGGAATAAGGACTATTATCTTCTTCTTGGTTTTATGGCAGTGGATTACATCCCAAGCTAAAAGCTTATTCCAAATAAACCCATTAATCTGCCGCTTAATGCCCAAGATACTAAGAGCTGAATCCCAAAGCCGTCTTCCTCCAAAACACCATAAAAGCAAGATGGTTAGGGGATTCATTGTCATATAGACAAAATGGCCACTGGTTAATAATGATGCAGGCATTCTTCCTTAAATTATCCATAGTAAAAATAGAATCCAATTCCAAATTATCCATAAATTTACTAGAATATGTTATGGGAAATTTACTGGTCCAAAATATCAGAGAAAGAAATATAAAAGATTCAGGAAAAATCACATGCCTGAATTAGATTCAATGAAGGAAACTGCAATCTGCAGATTAGATTATTCTGTTCTCTTCATTTGAGTTTTTGCCAGTTATGTTTCAATTCCTTTTTCTCTCACTGCAGGCGTTAGGACAGCTTTATATGTATTAAGTATATCCTATAAATGAAGCAGAGTAGATTACGTTTAGATGTATTAAAAAAATTAGAAATTATAATTATTTTAATTATAAAATGAACTATTTACGAGCAAATTATTATAATTTTAGTATTTTAGATTTTAGATTTTATTTTTTTTAAGTATTTGAGTTCCTATTCTCATTAGAGTTACTATTTTTAGCTTAGTACTATTTTAGAAAGGTTAGT